GAGCCCCGCATCGGGCTCCCTGCTCAGCCAGGAGCCTGCTTCTCCCTCTCCCACTCCCCCTGCTTGTGTTCCCTCTCTAGCTGTCTCTCTGTCTGTCAAATAAATAAAATAAAATCTTTAAACAAACAAACAAACTTTCTTAAGGGGGTAGATCTCAAGTTACATGTTTTTTGTTCTGTACCATAAAACAGTAATAAAAGGAAAAACTTAGGAAAAAAAAAAAAAAGAAGCCCAAGCTATGGGGTTGGGCCCCACGGATGGGCTGATTCTGTTTCTGACCTCACCATATCCCCATCAAGGAGCAGATTCTTCTCTCTCCTGCCCTGGGATGATCACAGCCAGCTGGGTCAGGGGGCTTCCTCCCGGTGGGGATATGGCTGCAGCAGTACCCTGGGTCTCCTGCAGATAGGACAACACCCAGCAACCACCCCCCAACACCCAGCAGACATCCCCTGAAGTGTCATTGGGCAGAACTGGGCCCCACGTCCCCTCCCAGACAAGGGCGTGGGGCCACCGCAGTTGGTTTGGACACATCAGGATTTCCTCCTAAAGCACACAGAGGAGGATACTCCACCCCAGTCAGGGTGCAGCTTGAGCAGGGAACCTGGGGGGAATGGCTAGGATGATCACAACCCCCGATGGGCAAATAAGTAACAATGTCCCAGCGCCTTCCTTTCCCAGACGGGGGACTGAACCCAGCCCTTACGGAGGCAGACGCTACGCAGAAAACCGTCAGTGTCGGGGCCACTGTAACCCCAATAGGGGTCATTTATCAAGTCCTGACACTGTGCCTAGCTCTGGGCTAAGGCAGCTGTTACTACCAAACTCATACTATCGTCCCCATCTCACAGATGGGAAAATTGAAGCTCAGAGATACAAAATGATTGAGAGCGGCACGGAGCCTCCTTCCTTCATACTGGCTTGGCCTTGAAAAATAAAAGGAATCCCCAAAACAGTGCCGTTCCATCAGATGAATATATTCTAGCAGCTGGAAGCAGGCTGAACTACGCGAGGGCTCTGAATGGGAGGTTCTGGAACACGATTCCATTTTGCAGCTCCCTCTGCACATAGGAACAGGGTCTGATGCACTCACCTGATTTACAGATGGCGCATCAGTGGTCATGGGAGGTCCCGAGCACACACCTGAAGAGGGCAGGCTTACCTGGACAGATGTCTCTCAGGGCGATGACCTCCACACTGGGAGGAATGAGGTAAGCACGTGCCAGGAGTGCTCAGAGGGATGAGTGATGTGGCAGTGAGGTACCTTTTTCTTTGGGGGGGGGGGTGGTAGAAAACAAAAACGAAACCAGATGAAATTGAATGACAGTAATTAAAAGTGTCCCCCTTTCCTCCTGTGGTGGGTGGAGTGATGACCTCCAAAGATGTCCACTTCCCAATCCCAGAAGCTGTGAATATGGTACCTTGGCTATGTGGAAGAAGGGACTTAGCAGATGTGATTAAGGTTAGAAACCTTGGGATGGCGAGGTTATCCTGAATTATCCAAGCGGGTACATGAATCCTTAGAAGTGGAGAAGCTTCCCCAGCTGCAGTCCAAGCAGATGTGACTAGTGAAGAATGGTCAGAGGGGGATGCTCGCTGTAAGCTGTGAAGACGGAGGAAAGCCAAGGAACGGGGCAGCCTCTAGAAGCCTGGAGAAGGCAAAGAAACCCATTTTTCCCCTCAAGCCTGGAGAAAGGAGTGCAGCCCTGCCGACACCTTGAACTCAACCCCGTGAGACTTCTGTCCTACAGAAGTACCTAATGAACAGAAGATGTTAGTAATGGAAAAATGAGTATCGAGTATAATGGAACTCTCTGTACTCTCTTTGCATTTTTCTGTAAATCTAAAACTATTCTAAAATAAAGTTTATTTAAAATACGGATGAGCTTCCAGTTAAATATATCAGTCACCAGGATGATCAGTACAGCAAAGGGAATACAGTCGATAATATTGTAACAACTTTGGGAACAGATGGTGACCACACTCGTTTTGTTGTGTATACAATTGTGGGATGGCTACATTGTGCAGCTGAAACTAACCTGATATTGTGTATCCACTCTACTTCAATTAAAACATTACAAAATTTTTTAACTTTTATTTTTATTTTTTTAAATTTAATTTTATTTATTTGACAGAGAGAGACACAGCGAGAGAGGGAACACAAGCAGGGGGAGTGGGAGAGGGAGAAGCAGGCTTCCCGTGGAGCAGGGAGCCAGACATGGAGCTTGATCCCAAGACTGATGCTTAACCACTGAGCCACCCAGGCACTCCTCAATTAAAACGTTTTTAATTAAAAAGAGGGGCACATGGGTGGCTCAGTAGGTTAAGCATCTGCCTTCGCCTCAGGTCATGATCCCACGGTCCTGGGATCCAGCCCCGCATCGAGCCCCGCATCGGGCTCCCTGTTCCTCAGCAAGCCTGCTTCTCCCTCTCCCACTCCCCCTGCTTGTGTTCCCTCTCTCGCTGTGTCTCTCTCTGTCAAATAAATCAATAAAATCTTTAACAAATAAATAATTAAAAAAATAAAAACCTAGGGAGAGATAAAAATTCAAATCACCCTGAATCCTGCCCCCTAGTGATATCCACTGTTGTTGGTGAATGCCTTTTTACTTTTCTCATGGATATCTACATTTATGATTATTCCTATTCTTATTATTAAAACACACAACCGGAGGCTCTGATGGGCAGCCCCATAGCCCCAGAGTCTCCTGCAGCACCTGTTGTCTTCAGGGAGGATGGGGAGCCCAGCCCCAGGGAGGAGAGAGAAGCTGGAGGAGTGGCTGATGTTGAAACCCTGTGAAAACCCAGCTTAGACCAATGTGCCTTGGCAACGCCACCTACTAATTAAGTGAGGGCACAGTGTGGCCTCCAACGCCATCACAGTTCAGCCAATGTGGAGCTGCTCCCATGTCATCACACCATCTCTCCAGCCCTGTTTTCTCCTCTCATGCTAGGACACCCAAAGACACAAGTCCAAGAACAGCCTTCCTCATGGCGCTGGCCCAGGGCCCCAGCATGAGCAGCATCCACATGCCAGGCCTTCCCCTCTCCGCCCCCTGTGGGCCACAGTCATCAACCTGTCACTAAATATTTAATATTCCTGAACTCTTTAAATGGCCCAACTGGTCCACATCTGCTGGCTTCTTTTAAGAACTACACCTGCAGGGTGCCTGGGTGGCTCAGTTGGTTAAGCGACTGCCTTCGGCTCAGGTCATGATCCTGGAGTCCAGGGATCGAGTCCCGCATCAGGCTCCCTGCTCGGCGGGGGGTCTGCTTCTCCCTCTGACCCTCTTCCCTCTTGTGCTCTCTCTCATTCTCTCTCTCTCAAATAAATAAATAAA